GCATTGTTCTGACTTGTTTGCTGGCAAACTGGCGTGGCGTCACGCATACTGATGACAACTCCACGCCAACAAACGACCCCCCCACACCCTCCCTCCCGCCCCCTTACATACGCAGGGGAGTGTTTCCACAAAACACATCTTCCCTGGAAAAATCCATCAGCAGCATCCTTTAACGAAGGGACGCCTGTCGTGCATATGGCTGCCATGAAAAGCTGCCACTACGCCGTTGACGGCCGCCATGTGGCGCGTTGAGGCCCAGCAGGGGCAGCCTGTCCAGGAAAAACATGAACGTGTCACAGGCTGGTGCTGATGGGAGGAGGGAGGGTGTGGAGTCTGGTGTATGTTTGTTGTCCAACAGGCGCAGGGCGAATTCTCAGGGAGGAGAAAAACGTCAGCCAAGAGCTGCACAGACGTGGCATCGACGCCGTTATATCTGTAGAACACAGGTCTGTGTGTGGGGGGGAGCGGGGGGGGGCATTTTAGTCTGGATGGTTGTTGTTGGAAAGTCTTTGGAATCACTGGTGCAGATGGCCACGGGCCAATCAGACGTCTCCGTTACTGTTTTTTTGTTTTTATACAGATTGAATTCTTTTGCAAATAGTCATGGTTTTCAGTTGACATTTTGCTAAATTGTCGATCTTTCGGCACCGTCCTCCTCTTTAGGGCCCAGTATTTCTACATTTTATTCATCATTTAAATCTTAAACTTAAACTTAAACTTTTGTCCGTCTTCTTTCTTTTTTCTCTTGTAAATTCTTCTAAAATTTAAACAAATTCAAACTCTTTTGCCCAGTTTTTTTTTCCTCTCCTCGAAACAGCATTTATCTTTTGTAGAACAGTGTGACTTTATTCTACCCCCTGCTTGTTGAGTTCGTCTCCCCTGTCTGAGTGAGTTCACAGCTTGACTGTAACAACGTTAACCTTGATGTGCTTTATTCGTATGTTTAGAACCTTCACCTTAGAATATTGTGTGCTGAAATGAAAAGCTCAGATACAAGGCCGCTTCCACTCCTGGTCCCCCACCGTTATGGAGAGTGATACACGTGGAGTCAGAGTGGGAGGGCCGCTCAGAGGTCACTGTCATGACAACACCCCCCTCTGTCGACCTCCCCCCCCCCTGTCCTGCAGCCCACTCCTCTTCTCCCGCTCTTTATCCACACCGTCTAGAGTTCCACAGTAATTGTGTTTACATTTGTCCCCGGGCGCCAGCGTGACGTCACTGCACACCAACCGCTCAATCCCGACGCCCTCCTGATGTGAGTTTATAGCCCACGAGCCGCGGCCGCGGGGGTCGCTCAGTGGGAGGGGAAGCCCGTCCGAGTTGATTAAGAGGTCTGACGGATAATGATCCGCACACGGACGCAGATATGGCAGCGTTACATCACGGCCCCGCGGCAGCTTCAGGTGGCACAGTGACACCTGCTGCTTCAATCCATACTGTTATCGTTTTAAAAGGTTTCCATGGAGGATTCAGTCGCGTCCACCAACAGAAATGTAGCTTTTGTTTCCGTGGGGAAAATTATGGAGCACAAAAAAAAAACTTTTTTTTTTTCAAAAGCTAAGATTTGACAAATTGAGCGAGTTATTGGGAGACGGTCTGCTGTGAGCAGAAAATAGTAATTAAGATGAAATTGATTTAATTCGGGATCTTTGTGAATAAAGTAGTAGTTTTAAGGAACTTTTAAGGAATATTTTAAGAATTTTTTAATAAAGTAGTGGTTTTCAGGAAGTTTTAAGGAATATTTTAAGAATTTTTTATATGCAGCACAGAGATTTTCCCCCTCAAATATCAGGTTTAAAACCTTAACACAGTTCTGACCCAAACACGATGCTCTAACAGTTCATATTCTGTCCCCCAGATGACATTTTCAACCTTTCAGTGAATTAACGCTCCATAAAAGCTGGGTTTTAACCTGAAGACTTGGCTCCATCTGTGCTAGACCAGTTGTTTTCTGTGAAATGTAATGGTTTGTGACATTGCCCTGAATTTCGTGGGATCCTGGAGAGCAGTGTAAACAAGAGCCGTGCCTGTCGTTAATGATGTCAGACAACTTTGGTTTTATTTTCTTATGCAAACACTGGCTGGTTTGTCAGGAAACGGAACTGTTTTCAATGGAACTGCAGCCAAAACATTGGAGGAAACTTCTTTTTTCAACAAGTTCAGTTCTGCTGCTCCCTTAAGGGGATGTTTATATTGGTATTAAAGGGGAATTCTAATTAATTATCGTGGTGACAACTACAAGCTTAACAAAAACAACAAGTTCATTGTCTGATTTAAGCTAATTTTTTAGCCTGGCTACGCTTTGTGACATTTTAATTCTTGTTAATTTATGATTTAATTCTTTAATATTTTACATGTAGATTTTTTTTTGTCTTATTTTTCTGATGTTGTTCCTCTGGGTCTGAGGCTGGTTGTTCCACAGTCGACTGTTATCAGCTTTAACTCAGCGCTCTTTTCCCCGGACTTTCACGTCCGACACATGATTAATCCCCTCTGTAGTTATTACTGGAGCCTCAGAGTTTAAATGTTCTCCTCACTCCACCCTCCATCTTCGTGGTCATGTTCCATAACCTGCTCTGGTTTTCATCACCCTGCAGCAGCAGCAGCAGCAGGAGCAGCAGCAGGGTTTTATGGACATTCCTTCCATTGTTCTCCCGTGGTTCTAGGACACTTACACACATTTCAGATGTCACCATGAAAAAAAATAAATCCCCACAGTGAAACATGGAGCCGTCACCCAGACCACCTTGGCCACGCAACCACAGCAGGGAAATCGGAGCGACCTCGTAATCATTCCCTGCTGTCTTAATAACCGGGGAACAGTGGATGGAACATGTTTTTGTTTCTTTTTTTCAGGCTAACCCTGCCTTGTCTCTAGATTTCCACTCATTTAGATTTGACTTTCTTCTTCTTCTTTTTTTTTTTTCTTTTCCCCGAGATGCCGCCGAGGCCCAACTTCGTGGCTGTCACTCAACACGTGGGGTCTTGTTTGTGGCTTCTTATATAAGGAAGGCGTCCTGATCCATGATAGCGGACTCTCTGCTAACACAGGCCGCCACTAATGGGATTTCCATTGGGCAGTAATCACTTGTTCTTTGGTTTGTTGAACATATGTAGGAAAAAAAAAATTCCAGAACAGTTGGTAAACTTTCTAACAATCAAATAAAAAAAAAAAGGTATTCAGTGTCTTAACCAGAAGGTCTCTGAAACCAAAGATTAAATAAATACAAATAATAATATAATTGAAAAAATAAAGACATATTAAATTTTTTGCATAGTCACAGCGAACAGGACTTTAAGATAATTGGTGATTTTTTTCAAATGAAAGCTGCGCAGTGATTGGCTCAGGACAACTGTCCCATAACTATTTTAGATTTTAATTTTTTTTTTTATATATGTACCAAGTTTACCAGCTCTTTTCTGGAAAAATTTTTTTTTTATATATATACCAAGTTTACCAGCTCTTTTCTGGAAACGAGGTTTGTAACAATGAAGTGACGCTGCAGGGACTCTTTGTCCTGAAACCACTAAGATAAACCTCTGTTCTGTGAGCTTGGTTTGCTGGTAAACTCTGGCCAGGAACCTGTGGAAACCTGGAGGTTTTAGCCGCGGCGGTCGTGACTGTGAGGGAAGCTCCGGGAGCCTCCCTGTTTGGTGCGACACCATGCCAACAGGGTTGTCAGGACAAACACGCAGCCTACCTGGTGTGTGTGTGTGTGTGTGTGTGCGAGGGTGTTTTGAATGTCTGTCACACAAACAAACAGCGGCTGCTCCACATGTGCCGTGTCCGCTGCGTTCCTTCTGGCAGGACGCCTTTGTTTCTGCTGGCACGGCAGCGCAGGCAGGGGTGTGGACGCATTATGTAATCTGAGGCTGAGGTCGAGGGGGACGCACAGACGAGGAGAGAGGGAAGAGGATGTGGCTCTGGAGAGGAAGTTAGCGCTCTTTATGCCTGAGTTTTTCTGGCTCCACGGTGAAGAGGCATCAACACAGAGAGAACATTTAATTTTCAGTCAATATTGATCGAAATGTTGTAGAAATGTGTAGATAAATAATTAGTACCAGAAAAATAATGATTTATTCATTTTGATGCCCATAAGATAAAGAGAAATTCAGAGTTTATTCTTGGATATTTAGAGTGCATTTTTCTCAAGCTTCCTAATTTCTGCACAGTAAATAAAATGCCGACTCTTCCTCCTCCTCCCTCTTCCGTCTCCTCCCCCTTTTCATAATATTCCCGGCATTGCCCTCTAATTTTGGGAACCAGAAAAGAATGTCCTCGTCACCCTCCATTTAGTGTTTATGTAATCTAGAACAGAATTGTTGCCGCCGCTCCTCCAGGACTCATCTGGGCTTTTCCGTCCAGTTTCCACGGTCCTGGAAAACCTGCTCCACCAGTGGCATCCACAATCATGTGTTTAGACCCAAGCTTAGTGTCAGCACGCAGCCTAGTGTTACATAATAAAAAATAGACGGGGGTGGGGCTGGGGGGTGCAGTGTTGTTTTATATAAGGAAATATAAATATATAAACGGTTGTTACAAAGTTGATAAGAAAATGGTATTGGAAAAAAAAAAACTCACCTGCTGCATTTTGGGTTGTGAGTGCGATGTTTATGAAAAGGTCTGGATTTAAGTGTAAATCCTTCTGACACTGGGACCAAGACGGAACTTCATCGATTTCACCGTTTTTCAAATATGAATCAAACGTAATGTACGTGTGTGTCAGTGTGTGTGTGTGTGTGCGTCCAGATCAACTTCTGTTTATAATCTTGTTGGTTTCCATACTGTCATAGTTCACTCTCTGTGTGTGTGTGTGTCAGTGTGTGTGTGAGTGTGTGTGTGGTGGAAGATCTGTTTCTCATTTTTAAAGACCTTCCTGCAGCTCCACAGCTGTAGAGGAAACATCTCCAGGATTGTCAGTGAGCGTTCAGTGCTGCACCACAGACACCGGGGGCAGCGTCCACACACTGACATGTCTTCTCCCCCTCCTGTGTTACAGATAAAATTGAAGAGGCACAGAAAGAGCTTAAGGACCCCAAAGCCTCACAAAAAGGTAGGAGGGAAACAGAATGACTTATTTGTCCTTGGGTTTTTTTTTATTGTGGTTTAATTGATAATGATTTTACATCATCAACGAATGGGTGAAAAACAGCATCAATGTATCTGTCCATGTTTTTTAAAGTACCTAAATGTAAATGTAGTAACATTTTGTGTGATTGTGAAATTTGTTGGTTTTTTTTTTTTTGTTGCTATAATTCCGTCTACATTAACAATTTTGAAATTTTTGACTTAGTTTCCGCTGAGGTTGGAAACATTTAGGCTGTGTGTGTCGTCACCTTCACCTTTCTGTGGGCTGATTCTTTTTTCTTTTTTTTTGGACGACATTTATTGACTTTTTGGTTCCGACTGTTTCCGTGGTAACGTTCAGGTTATTTCAGGCAAAGTTGAACACTACATTTTTTTCCAAATATTATTGTTTTATATATATATATAAATTTCTAGGCTTACTTTAAGGTATCTTAACAGTTATCGTCAGGTTTTGGCTGTTGCCAGATATTTTCCTAATTTTTTTTTTTTTGCTGGTTTGTGATTTTATGTAACTTGTAAAAACGGTGAAGGATCATTGTTGACTTTGAAAAGGTCGGGCCTTGACTCACCACTTTAGGGTTTGGAACCCTGCATTCAGACGCATAAAAACAGTTTGGTCTCGACACGCAACGCAACTGACCTGTCAGTCAGAATAATCTAGTTAATCACCGCTATTAACATGTTCATTCCATCCCTGCTGTGTTCACTGGAACGAACAGAAGAGGTTTTTATACAGCATTTAACCCAGGGCTTTAGAATGTACATGTTCAGGTTCAAGTCAGTGGTGTGGATTTATTTGCTGATTTTTTTTTAGAACTTTTACTTTGGTCTGAGTGTCTGAGTGCTTTCTAACAATTCTGAGGGATAGAACGCAGTGCAAGCTGTTTGTTTCTGCAGCAGTGTTTATGGTGGAAAAAAAAAAATCTGAGGTTGAGGAATATATTGTAGATTTTCCACTTTCGTGCCCGTCGAGGAAAGCTAAAGACCTTGATGACTTTCTCGTGTGTTTAATGGCTTTATTTAGAGAAATCAGAGTGTTTGTTTGGAGAGCACTCCAAGCGTGGCGCTTCAGAGAAGGCTCAGTGGTTGCATGTTTGTGTGGAGAAGGGATTAACCTATGTAAAGACGGAGGAACCCTGACCTCATCTCGGGAAATACCTGCACAAGCCAGGAAAGTGTGACGAGGCCGGCGCGGCGGCTGCTGAACATTATGCAACATGTCCTTGAAAAGCTCCTGCTCGCCTGAGTCATTAGTGAGCACACACACACATGACGATGGAACACCGTGGTTTGGGTGTGCCCTCTTTTAAAAACAGACCTGCATTATTACTGGAATGCAGCGTTGAGTGCATGCACAGTTTGTCAGCGGCGTTGGGAAACAGTCTGTCTTGTTTTGTTCTGATCAGACAGGTCAACAGAACGATCACGTAGAGTACCTGGAAGAAAAGAATGCAACCCACGCATTCTTTTTGTTTTATGTGTGTGTGATGTTAGTCACACATCACATGAATAAAAAGACACCCCATAAAAACTAAATTAACCTTTTCAAATGGAAACCTTTACCTTGGCTGGAAATTATTGGTAATAACATTCCTCAAAGATGGTTCTAGCTCTAAGAACATTTAACCATAAACAACTTTTCTTGAGTGAATAAAATATGGTTGTGTCTTTTTGTGAACTATGCTAATATTCACTGTTTTGCTGTAAACACTTTACACGTTCTTCATTTCTTTTTCTTTTTTTCTTTTCTTCAGGTGTACCTGAAAGTAACCGCCGAAATGCGGATAGTATAAAAGGCCTGAAGAGGAAAAAGATCGTTGCAGAGAACCAGCTCAAGAAAATTCCCAAATCTCCAGTGAAGAAGCCCCTGCAGTCGAAGGCCTCTGAAGCTGTGCTTCACGGAGCGTCGTCCAAGGAAACCCCGCCCTCTCCCAGCAGTCCGTCCCACAGTCCCTCGACCCGAGACCCACGCGATGACCCACCTGTTGCTCCGCCCCCTGAGGAGGGATCACCTGCAGCTGACGCTGAACGGTTGAAGAGGGAAGAAACGTCGTCCAGGCCACCGTCGCTGCAGCCCGCCCATGTTGAGGAGAGCTCGTTGATTACCGCCGCGGCGTCTCAGCCCAAAGACATCCAGAGCCCAGAACCCTGCCCCGAGAGAGCGTCATACCACAGCAGTGCTCCGCTTGATGTTCTGCTCAAAGCCATGGAGCCGGACTTGAGTTCACTTGCAGAGAGGAAAAATGCCTTGCAGGTGGCAGCCATTGGACAACCAGTCCCCGCTCTTCACGCTCAGTCCAGCGCTGAATTACCGGCGATGCCAGCTGTCAACGTCGGTCTGCAGCCCCACACTTCCCACTTGCAGACGTATTACATAGACAAACAGGGAAACGTTATCGGCATTGCGGCGCCGCTACAGGGAAGTGTGCAGGCGGCTACACAGGGTACGCCACAGTTCATGCCTGTGGTTTCAAATGCAGAAAAGCCCGCCTTGCACATGAGCTTTAACACCGGACCAGCCGCTCTAACTCACGCTCCCGTTCCCTCTGGGTCCAGTACTTTGCCACAGAGCCAGCCGCCCATCGTGCAAACGTGCCAGTCTCTTTCAGCCAGCGTTCCCAGCACCATTCAGGTCCCAGTTACACCTGGCAGCAACCAAGTTCAGGTGGCCACCGTCATGAACTTTGCTGCCGAACAGCTCTCCAAGGAACAAAAGCCTAAAAAGCCAGGAAAATATGTCTGTGAATACTGCAGCCGGGCCTGTGCAAAACCCAGCGTGTTGCTCAAACACATCAGGTCCCACACAGGGGAAAGACCGTACCCTTGTGTGACGTGTGGCTTTTCGTTTAAGACCAAGAGCAACCTATACAAGCACAAGAAGTCTCATGCTCACGCCATAAAACTGGGTCTAATTGCACGCTTTGAATCTGGAGGTGCATCGCTCTCCCAGGAATCTGACAAAGCCCTCGGTGCTCATTCAGAGGTCGAAGAGAGCGGGGACAGTGATGAGGAGGGCAGTACCGCGGACTTAGACCCCGACTCGTCCCAGAGCAGTCTGGCAGCACTGTCTGAAATCAGTTTACAGAATACAGGTACAAACCAGGCCAGTCACGGAGAAGGCGAGCCACCAGCCATGTTTGACGCTGTCAAAACGGTCCCTGCCCAGAGGGCCTATGAGCCAAAAGTGACAGCCGCCCTTCCAAAAGTTGTTGTATATCCAGTAAACGTCTCCCCTCAAAGAGCAGATAGCCCACGAGTCACAGGTGCAGCGCCAGAACAGACCGCAGCTGCACAGCGGCAGCGAGACTTCCAGACGGCCAGTTTGAGGTCCAGCATTACAGTCCTGTCATCCCTGAAGGAAGTGGACGGTACTAATCCCTCACTAGATACTGTGAGTGAGGACGAAGACCAACAGTGCAAGTCCCCGCTGTTGGTTGGACATGCTCAACTTCAGAGGCAACAAGCCACAGACTTCTCACAGCAGCAACAGCCCAAGTGTCTGCTCAGTCCACGCAGTCTGGGAAGCACGGATTCCGGCTACTTCTCGCGATCTGAAAGTGCTGACCAGGCAATGAGTCCACCCAGCCCGTTTGTCAAGATCACTCCTCCGGTGGACGTTGACATCGTGAAGAACCCACATCCTGTTCACCCCCCTGTGGTTGCCACAGTGATGCATGTAGCACCTGATTCAAAGCCACGAGCTTCAGTTGGACAGATGCGCCCCCCTCTGGAGGCCAAAGCTCTCTCCCTGGAGGAACGGATCTCAAAGTTAATATCTGATAATGAAGCAGTAGTTGACAACAAGCAGCTGGACAGTGTCAAACCAAGAAGGACTTCACTTTCAAGGAGAGGGAGCATTGATTCTCCCAAGTCGTACATATTTAAAGACTCCTTCCAGTTTGATCTAAAACCAATGGGCAGAAGGTCAAGTTCCAGCTCTGACATCCCTAAGTCCCCGTTTACCCCAACAGATAAATCTAAGCCAGTATTTCTTCTCTCAGTACCTTCTCAGTACCCGCCAATGGATTGTTTGCCAATTACGAGGAGTAACTCTGTGCCGACCACACCTGGACACTCTGCACTTCCTGTCAACGTTGCCCCTCTGCCCCACCCTTTGCGAATTTGCCAGTCATTTGATGAGAAGTTTAGTTCATTCAATGACGATGTATTTTCGCCAACCCCAGCAACTCCAAATTCAGCGATGCATTCTCGTATGTTAGTCAGACAGGTGGCAGTGGAGGACTTCTCTACAGCAGAGGGACACGGCCTCCCTACCGTTCGCTCGATGGATGAAGGCTACCACGGTCCGAGTAGTTCCGCCGAGGTCATGCAAAGAAGCAGATCTTTTGAGCACGGTCAGGACAGACACAGGAAGCCTCTGCAGAACAAGGGCACGATGTACGAATGTGAAACGTGTCGCAACCGGTACAGAAAATTAGAGAATTTTGAGACTCACAAAAAATTCTACTGCTCTGAGCTCCATGGCCCAAAGAACAAACCAAACGTCGTAAAAGACGCCGATCAAGATGTTTTTCACGTTGGCACGGCTCCGAGATCGTCCAGTGGCTCAGGAATCATCGATCAACAGACATCGATCAGAAAAAGAAGAATAATGAAAAGTGTTGGAGACGAGGATGATCAGTCGCCAACTGACACAAACCCACCTTGTCCTGTTTCTTTTGATGTCCCAACAGCGGGACAACCCTACTCTCAGCATGCCGTAATAGTGGATATACAGCCAAAAACCAGTCAGTCGAAGCCACCTCCGGTTCAGCTCATTGCAAGAGGTATAAATACGGCAGAGTCCAGACTGTCGCCGATTCGAGAGACCCAGATTAGCTCTTCTACTAAAGTTGAAATGCAGAGACAAGGCAGTGGTACGTCGGTCATTAGACACACCAACTCTCTTAGTAGACCCAATTCATTTGAGACAGAATCAATGGATAGGGCGTCTCCCGTTGACCTTTTGGAGAGAGATAAAATGACTAAACCTAGGCCGAATGTTTTGGCTGACAAGACTCATGAAGAACTATCTAAACCTAAAAGTACTGACCACAGAAAGCAAATGAAGGAAAAATCTACCGATTGCACTGGACAGACAGCTGAAAGCTCCACCCCTGTCCATCAGTCACGTTTGGTTCGTCAAAGCAACATCCAGGTTCCTGAGATTTTGGTCACAGAGGAGCCTGATAGGGAGCACGAAACCCAAGCGTCCGAGTCAACGGATAAACCTGCAGATCAGTTCAACTGGCCTCAGAGAAGTGAGAGCCTGTCCAAACTCCCAGCAGAGAAACTGCCACCCAAAAAGAAAAGAATTCGTCTTGCTCAAATGGACCAGTCCTCGGGTGACTCCAGTTTTGAATCCAGCCTCTCTCGAAGCTTAAGCAGAGATAGTAGCCTTTCACGATGTTCCAGCATCTCGGCCTCTTTTGACAGAGACGAACCGTCAAGATCAGAGAGTCCGTCCAGGGTGGAATGTGTTGGCAAGATGCCAGAGCCTCAAGGTATGCCCATTGTGTTCAACACTCTCGGTGTCCCTGGAATGATGAGACGCGCTGCCTCGGAGCAGATCACCTGTACGCAACCATCGGTGGAAATTTCTTGTGATTACCGTAGCAAATCTTTTGACTGTGGCAACGTGTCTCCGAGCCGATCTCTATCACCAGCTGGCCAGCATAAAATTAGCAGTGTTCCCCAGGTGCCACTTATCGAAAGGAGGCGGGGTCCACTGGTGCCGCAGATGTCCTTAAAAATTGGCCCAGAAAGTCAGCAACCTGTTCGGAAATCCTTTATACCTTTGGATAAAACCCCCATGACAAACGTTAGCTCTTTTACGCAAAACAGAATGCAGCAGATTCACATTGCCAACAGACGTCCTTTGGTTCAGCCTTTTGTTCTGCAGAAGGGCGAGCCGCCGCTGCAGAAGAATGAACAAATGGTCCAGTGCATCAATTTGGGCAGCCCAACTCAGCAGCCTCAAGTTCACGGCCTTCCACACCCTTGGCACCAGGCATCGAGGGTCCAGATGTGTCAGAAGATGCAACAACCGCTGAACCAAGTGTTGGTTTGTCATGAGAACGTCCAAAGCAAAGCAGCGTGTTCTGAAGAAAAGACTTTTGTGCCCAAATACCAAATGCAGTGTCCTGCTATGAGAGCCAGCCAAACGTTTTCATTTTCCAACACACAGGGCGCTCAGATCGCCCTGCCGGTCTTAACAATACCCATAGCCAACCCGATGTTGAGCATCTCAAAGTCTCCAGACGCCGTCCAGAATGTCTACGTGGCTCAACCCAACCAACCAGGGGCCGAGATGAAGAAACAAACTGTGGTGTTGTCCAGAGAACAGCAGAGACCGTCTTTTGATCAGACCCCAGCAGCTCATATGCCGTTGCCACAGATCCTGATTACCCATGAGCAGATGCACCCAGCTCCCTCCGCCCCCAACAAAAACAGTCTCTCGTCCTCCAACAGCACGGATGATAGTCGCTCTCTGCCTTCTTCCAAGAAAGATCGAACCCAAACTCAAGCGACTAACACTCACTTTGAGGACAGAGCGCTGCCTCACGGGTCTTTACAGTGCACGCAAAAACTGGCGTCGGTGACTCTGTGCCCACAGCACGAACCCACCGCTTCGAGTAAACGAATGCTTTCTCCCGCCAACAGTCTGGACATCTACATGGAAAAACATCAAAAGCGAGCGAAGGATGAGCACGGCGTGGCCTGCCTGACTGACGGCAGGTCGGCCAACTATCTGAATTCCAAGATGTCCGAAGTGACACGGCAGCGGAAGTTGATGCTGGTGCGGCAGGTTTGCACCACGGAACCGGCGGACAGTCCGATCGAAACCGAGGCTCCACCTCTGCCCGAGGTTAATGCCGACGCAGTGAAGGATTCTGAGGCCACGGACGATGTGAAGCCCATGTCCCCAGACAGCACCGGTCTGGAGAAAGACACGAGCACCGTCATCCATGAAGCCAACCAGGCTGTGAATCCCACACCCAGAGTTCAGGGTGTTCCCGGCATCACAGCTGGCGACTCACTGAGGCCCCAGGAGAAGGCTGAGGAACAGAGGTGGACGCCAGCCAAATCCCCCATTAAACCTTCCAGTTTCCATGGCAGCCAGGTGAAACTGACCACGTCTGTGTCTGTGGTCAACACCAAAGACAGCCACCGTCTCTCCTTCCCGAGCCTGAAGACCACTACGACGTTCACGTGGTGTTTCCTGATGAAGAGGAAACCTCTTCACCTCCCACAGGCGGACCTTAAGACGTCTGCGTATGCCACGTGGACAATAAGCCCCAACAACCCCAACCCTCTTGGGCTGCCCACCAAGGTGGTCATGTCTCTGTTTGACTCCAAGCAGAGCTCCAAGAAAATTCACTACACCTCAGCCATAAGGACGAACGGGAAGAGTGACTTCCTGACGTATTCGGGGAAGCTGAAAGATGTCATGCAGAGGGTAGGAACCGATTTTGGAGAACTGTTTATTCGCACCATAAACTGTGTATAAGAACGTTCCCAGCTGTCTGGCTACCAAGAGTATTGACTTGCATGAAGTCAGAGATGGTTGCGTAACGATGTTTTCCAAGTAATATTTGGTTAACATGACTAAGATTTTGTTTTTGCTTCTGCAGCTACAGGTGACTCAGAGGTCAGTATCAGCTGAGGGCAGAGCCAAGGTGCAGCCAGAAAGTCAAGCCAGCACCGACGTGGACAAGGACCTCGCGTCTAAAACGGAACCAAGACGTGTCAAAATCTTCGACGGCGGGTACGGTTTCAGTGGCGATGATTTGGTGATTTTTTTCTCCGCGTCCGTCTTTGTTCTGAGTGTCTGTTCTACACCCGCAGGTACAAGTCCAACGAAGAGTACGTGTATGTACGTGGGCGTGGGCGTGGCAAATACATCTGTGAGGAATGTGGAATCCGCTGTAAGAAGCCAAGCATGCTGCGCAAACACATCCGCACCCACTCTGACGTCCGGCCGTACCACTGTGTCCAGTGTAACTTCTCCTTCAAGACAAAAGGTCGGCTACCTTGTTTTAAATTTAGTATTATTTTATTTGAGAAGAGACAGTGTACACAATTTAAAACAATGTAAAAAAAAAAGATCCCAGTTTGCTAGAAGCCTAATTTCCATCGGCAGTAACTCTTTCAGATGTTAAAATCCCTGCTGGGTTTGCCTAAGGTTTTCCTCTCGGCCCCAAAAGATAGAAGTTAAAATGTATTTAAATATTTAAACATTTACAAAAGGAAACTAAATGTCAACCACAAAAACTACTGGAAGCCAGAATAAATATTCAAATTGTAGATTTGACCAAATCCTGGTAGAAAGTTAAATGTTTGCTCCCTTATACCTTAAAGCAGGGGTCTCAAACACCTGGCCCGGGGGCCACTTCTGGCTCGCAAAACCTCCACATCCAGCCTGTGACTAGATGTCAATAATCACTTAATTTTTGCCCATTATAAATTTTCTTTCATTTAATAAAATACCCAAGTTGATCAGGAAATAATTCGAAAGAAAGAATTGTACTCACAATCCACACTGTAGTATTTTAAAGTATTTATTATTGAACAAAAAAATACATTTTGTTGCTAAAGGTTAGCCCCAAAAAAAGGTAAAGCACAGAGTTTAGAGAAATCCACAGATGAACGTAGATTTGAGTTGTTGCAGTAAAACTCGTGGAACATCCCTTTACTTTCATAAATCAACAAAGAAGCCGCTGCAGCGATCACTCATGGTGCACTTTCTGCCCAGCGCTGCTTCCTGTTGTCTTTTGAAAAGTTTTGAAAATTAAATAGGTTGTTTTTTTTTTGTTTTTCTTTTTTTTTTTTTTTTTTTCCATCTCGCAAACCAAGACAGTATGATTCACCCTTCTTTATCCAACTTGCCTTCCCACGCTGCACTGCAGCACAGCTCTGGGTGTCAGAGCAGCCCACGTTCATTTAAAAATGTCTTTATCACTTACTCACCCTTTACATTCAGCGACCGCATTCTCTTACATAAACTCCTTCTGTGCTATTGTTCAGCCGCTGCCCACCCGTGTGACCCTCCTGCCTCTCTCTCTTACCCCCTTACCCCCTCTCCCTCCGTTCTTAATGTTGCAGGAAACCTGACCAAGCACATGAAGTCCAAGGCCCACAGCAAGAAGTGCATGGAGATGGGTCTGCCTGAGGGTCTGACCGAGGACCAGGACGCAGAGGATTCTGGTACAGAGTTTCTCCGTCTTCTTCACGTAGTCAACCTGTTCAACAACAACCACCGGGGGGCAGTAGTTTGTAGTCACAAAAAAAACCTGTTCAACAACAACAACCACCGGGGGGCAGTAGTTCTGGGGGAGAATGTCTCCTTTTAGTCCTGCAAAAGACGCCACCAGATCTGCGTTGAAACCCTGGCCGGTCCCTGACCGTGTCTCTGTTGCTATGCCGATCAATGGCTCTGCCACGGTCTAATTAAAAATGCAGCTTCTTCCCCCGTTAACTCAAAGCACATGTGGGCAGCGTTCACAGCATTTACAGAGAGGAAATTGCTGCAGCTAATTTTAGATAGATAAAAAGACAGAGAGAGGGAGAGAGAGGGTGAGAGAGAGGGTGAGAGACGGGGCGCCCCCCTGAGTGAAAGCATCCTCTGCTCCAGGTCTGTGTGAGAACATTTGTTTCTCCTCCTCGCTCTGTGATGGAGCTCCAGGGTTTTCACGGCAGAGGCAGCAGTGACAGCAGCAGCAGCAGCAGTGACAGCAGCAGCAGCAGTGACAGCAGCAGCAGCAGTGTTTGTGACTTCACAGGGGAAAAAGTTACCCTGTTAGTTTGTCTTTAACCCCAGATTTTTAGAAGCGTGTAAATCCAAATGTAATAGTTATAAAAACTTCAGATTCCACTCAACTCGGTTCAATACAAAATGAAAATGTTTACAAATGTTTAAAAAGTTATTAGTCGTCAGTACAAGTTTTGACGAACGGTTTTCATTTAGACAAAGTAGGAAAAAAGAAGCTAAAAGTTGTGAAGTGCCAGTTTAAAATGTTGATTTTGGTGCTGACAGGAAGTGAGCAGACTTTCTGTGTTTTTAAAAAACAATTTCTTACATTTTTTAACAAACCAGCAGCTGCAGTGATGGTGGTGTGGAATGTTGACCAAAAACCCTGGACTTTGTTTCACAGCAGCAGCAGTGACTCATGTCCCTAAGAATAGTCCTCCCACCCACTCACTCTTCTCCCTCCTGTCTTCAGGAGACCGCAGTCAGGTGAGCAGCGCCGACCGTCAGGACTCTGACGGAGACGACTCCGACGGCCCCGATGACGAGGAGAATGACGACAACGAGGAGGAAGAGGAGGACAGCCAGGCCGAGTCGGGCCTGTCCACCAACCCGTCCGTCTCCGCCAGCCCTCAGCACGTCCCCTCCAAAGAGTCCGACGTCCCCCCCAGTGCCCTGCTGGCGCAGATGTCCATCAGCTCCGTGTCCCTCCCTCCCTCCCGGCCCGCAGCTCCAGAGTCCGGCGCCTCGGAGTCGGACTCTGTCCCCATGCTCAGCCCGTTGTCCCTCGGCAGACAGATCCCCATCTCTGTCCCCTGCTACCGCCCCCCCCCCCCCCCCGCCCCGCAGCTCCAGAGTCCGGCGCCTCAGAGTCGGACTCTGTCCCCATGCTCAGCCCGTTGTCCCTCGGCAGACAGATCCCCCTCTCTGTCCCCTGCTACCGCCCCCTCCCACCCACCGTCACCACCGCCATGTCCGAGTCCTGCACCTCAGACACAGAGTCGGTCCACATGATGAGTCCGGTGTCCCCCTGCAGGCAGATGTCCATCGACTACCCCGACTTTGACGTCCCCCCCAGTCCCCCAGTGACAGTGAAGAGCACCAGACCAGGACAGGTGAGACCCGTGTCTTCTCAGTGTGTGTCTCTGCGTCCTTCTGTCCTGTCCGTGCCCTCTGACCCCTGCATGACAGCCCCTGTAAACACACCAGGTGAATACTGCACTGGTTTGATGGACACATGGTGTCTTAAAGGGACAGTACAGGATTTTCTTTGTAATCTGGTTGGATGGAAATGAAAAAATATATAATTAGTCTCTGGTGGATGATGGGAAATTGGCTCAGTGATAATTAACTTTGGCTAACAGCAGGTTTCACAATTGTGAAATTGGAATTTTTGTTCGGCTCTATGTTACCATGGTTACCCATGGTTTCATGTTTTAAAAAAAGGCTACATACGTGTACCAAATACTTGTTCAGTACCAGTACCTGGACAGTTTCACCAAGTATTTTCGAGGTACTCGTGGGTTTCAGTGTCTTGGTTCTCAGAGCCTCGTCCAACCAGACTTTACTAAAACTGGACTGTCCCTTTAAATCTTCAGCATTTTGCTACAGTTGTGTTAAAATTAATACACCTCCCTCGCCCCCTGGTGGTGTTTTTGTGTGTGTGTTTTCCCAGGACTCCTCTGGTTCCCCTCCTGCTGACTCAGGCGTACCCGTGGACCGCAGCACTCAGACCTCCTCGTTTGCCCCCCAAGGACTTGGACACTTTCCTCCGCAGGTCCTCTCCCAACCACCAGGGGCAGAAACACAGACCCATCTCTTTAGTCACCTCCCCCTGCACTCCCAGCAGCCCTCCCGCTCCTCCTACAGCATGGTACCAGTAGGAGGGATCCAGCTGGTCCCTGCTGGTCTGGCAGCTTACTCCACCTTCGTGCCGCTCCAGGCCGGACCCGTCCAGCTCACCTTCCCGGCGGTGGGTGTCATCCACCGAAACACCAGCCCCCTACCGCCCCCGACTGCTTCGCCTCAACCGGAGAGCCTGCGCCCTCAGCCTCTGGTGGTCCAGGAGCCCATCAGCAGCGTTGTCCCTTGCTTCAACCTGGGCCAGGTGACCGGGCTGCAGGCTCAGACCATACAGCCCATGGGTCTGGAGACACTGAACCTCATGGGCCTGACCAGCACGGGGCTGACGCCCACACAGCTGCTGCCTCAGCAAGGCCTCACCCTTAACGCCACCCTGGGGTTGCAGGTTCTGGCCACTAACCCCACCTCCCAGAGCAGCGGCCCACAGACTCAGGTACCAGGATTGCAGATTGTCAACACCCGCCGTCATCCCCTCCCTCAGCCCCCTGTCCACCCTCAGTCCTCTTCCTGGTTCCTCTGAGCGGCAGGGGAGTCCTGACGCCGCGGCAGCTCCGTCGCTCCAAACCGGCGAGCTGGGTTCTTCGTCTTCGTCTGCCTCTCCAGCAGCTCCTTCTCTGAAGGTCAGCGGATCTCCTGAGCCGACGGCAGGCAACGTCTGCGCAGAGATCGCGGAGAAAACACCACGTCTGACGCCATCGCCGGCCGAGGTGAGCCTGGCCAAGGTCGAGAAGGGGTCACCAGTAGAGGGAGCCAGTGATCCTGCACCCCCGAGGCCGCCACCAATGACAAGCTGGCAAAAAGTGATTGATGACAACGACGACGTGTCCAGTGACGATGAGGACAGACTGGTCATTGCCACCTGAAGGACTCTGGTTTGTCCCCTCCTCTTCCTCCTCCTCCTCCTCCTCCTCCTCCTCTTCTTCCACCACTCTTACTCCTCGTCTTTCTGCCCCTCCTTCCTATTTTTGGAATTCTCGTCACTTTGTAAGACTGAAAACACTTTTCAGGGCCTTGGTTTCTGACAAACAGCCCTTCTCAAAGCACAGATGCTGACATTCATATAATTGTACGTGCAATCACATGATAATTATAATAATGACCAATCCTTTTTGTTTGTTTTTTTTTGAAATGTTTATTCGTCAGCTCCAGAAACTTTTTTTTTCTCCAGATGATTTGTTTTTGTACATGTTGTATAGACAATTGTGCCTTTATGGAGTTTCTTGTTTAGGAACCTGTCTGTAAATAATCCCCTCATAAATTCAGTAGTTGCTCGTGTTTTATTTTAAAAAAACTAACAACGACAAAACAAAAACAAAACAAACACACACACAAAAAAACGACAAACAGCAAAGATGGTAAAAGAGAAGTTTAACGACGCGGGATGAAAGTCGGTTTTATTTTTTATTTTTCTTTCGTCATTGGTAAAATTGCTGATAATTCTAAATGTCGTACTGGTAAATGTACATTTCTATGGATGATGGGGCAGTGTTTCTGTGTACAGATGTTGTGTTCAACTATTTATTATAATCCATCTGGTGCCCGTTCTGATTCACACGTCCATAGAGTATGTGCATTATAGTAGCTTTACATTTCTGTATCAATATTCTTAACTGTATCAGTAAAGATTTGTTTACAAACGAAAAGTGCTCCGATTTTTTTTGTTTGTTTTTACGTCAGGTTTATAGCGTCCACTTTTACTTGAATACATTTTGACAAAAATTTAAATGCGTTCAAACAAACAAAACAACCCTCTGCGTTGACTGGAAATCAGTTGCGTGCACGCGTGCACGTGTCACGCGCACGCGTGCACGCGTGCACGCAACTGATTCCCGACGCCTGTGAATGACGTCAGAGGATGTCGACAGAGAGACGGGCTCGAGGCTGTCGTTGTACGGTGGATGCTGACAAACAAAAAAATGAAAGTTGAAGATTGACAGACAGAAAAGGACACAGGACTCAGATGAAGGAAGATCCTCGGCCAAATCTCCACCAGCGCTTTGTTTCCAACACCAAACGGATCGTGAACTTCATCGTGCCCGAGGGAAAAAAACTAACTGCCCCCGCCGGACGAAGCTGTCACTGTTTAAACCTCCATGTCAAACCTGGGAACGCGAATCTGTCGGTGAGTAAGAATAATCTGTGCTTTTACTGTTTATTGTTTCGTTCTGTTTATGTTTTTGATCAGAATCTTAGTCCGTTAAGCAGATTGTGCCTTAATTGATATCGATTGTTTTAGCCTAACCTAGCAACCATCCTGCTAAGTGACGTATCAGTGACGTAGGGCAGTGTCACAGGTGTTGGTTGGTTTTAATTGCACTTGGTCTGTGATGAAGTCGTCTTCATTCCCGGATGTTAGACTTGATCCTGGGTTGTTTGTAGCCGAGACCTGTAGCAGCTACAATCTGGCTTTTAACGAAAAATGTCAATGCAATAAAATGCCCCGAAACATGCTTAAATATTAATATTTTGATTTAGAAATTAATAGAAAAAAATCCCCCATTTTGACATGTCATAAAAGACACAAAAAGCCTGACTACGCTAACATAGTTTTTTTACCAAAAAAGTCAACAATAAATAAAAAATTCCTAAAATTCCTCCAAATGCAAAAAACAAAAACTCATATTTTAATATTTTGATTTAGAAATTAATAGGAAAAAATATTTTTTTTAATACAATGACTGACACGAAAAGCCTGACTATGATACAATATGGCTTTTAACAAAAAAAAGAAAGAAATTCCTCTATAATAATAGGAATAATTTATATTCTTTTATAGAAATTTCTGTCAAAAATGTTAACTTTACCTGTCAAAAATGTACTATTATGAAAAAATGCCTTAAAATACTAAGTTT